GTGGCGGGCGCAGTCTCCAGAGCCTCTAGAAGGGGCTGCGGCGCGCGCAGGGGCCCCCGGGCCCCCCCCGCGGCGGTTGTGTGCGCTACTACCATTGTGATTTGCATAGCAACGGTGCTCTCCAGAGTAGAAGGGGCTGCCCAGAGCCTCTAGAAGGGGCTGCGGCGCTTGCATAGCAACGGTGCTCTCCAGAGTAGAAGGGGCTGTCCAGAGCCTCTAGAAGGGGCCTACTGCCATTGTGGTTTGCATAGCAACGGTTCTCTCCAGAGCCTCTAGAAGGGGCTGCGGCGCGCGGAGTCGCCGCTGGGCCGCCCCAGCTCTCCACAGTGGCGGGCGCAGTCTCCAGAGCCTCTACATCATCCTCTTCACCTCTCCCACTCACCATCATCCTTTTCACATCTACATATCACCACCACCCTCACACACATACAGCTCCACTCACTCACATCCTCTCACCTCCTCTCAACATAGAGCTCTCCAGAGTAGAAGGGGCTGTCCAGAGCCTCTAGAGAGCCTCTAGAAGGGGCTGCGGCGCGGAGTCGCCGCTGGGCCCCCCTGCGGTCGTGTGCGCTACGCATTGTAAGGGCCGCGGCCCCCGCGGGTGTGCACGCTACTGCCATTGTGATTTGCGTAGCAGGCGCAGTAGCAGGCGCAGTACCCAGAGCCTCCAGCAGGGGCTGCGGCACGCGTTGTCGCCGCTGGTGCCGCTGTCCTCGCTGTGGCAGGCGCGCTCTCTAGAGTCTCCGGAAGGGGCTGCGGCGCGCGTTGTCGCCGCTGGTGCCGCTTGCTGTCCAGGTTGCAGGCGCAGTCCCCAGAGCCTCCAGAAGGGGCTGCGGCGCGCGTTGTCGCTGCTGGTCCCTCTGGCTGCCCGCCTCCAAACTTCTCTCTCCGCCTCCTTCTCTCTCTCTCTCTCTCTCGTCCCTCTCGTCCCTCTCGTCCCTCTCGTCCCTCTCATCCTTGTTCATCACATCATCAGACACTTTATCACACACCCACACACACACACACACACACACGCACGCCATCTTACCACACACACACACACACACCTCCCTCCCCTCCTTCTCATCCTCGTCCATCACATCATCACTTATACTGCACGTCTGAGCATAACCGCCTCATATACCTTCTCTCCTCACACTTCGTTCTTGACTTTTCATCTCACTACTCCGTCTCCCATGTGATGTTCATACACATTTGAAATTTGTAAAACTTATCGTGTGGGGTTATCCGGTCCTTTTAAAGTAAGAACCCCATAGCTTCGCTATCTGGGGAACTATATATTCAATCATTTAAGGTAGGCAGGGTCGGTGATGAGGAATTATTTGGGAAGCTTCGAGTCAACGTCTCCCAATGTTTGAATGCTCAAGCCAAACTGGGGAGACGCCCCTTGAGGAGCAGTGTCGCTGCTGGTACCTCAAGATAAACTTTTTCTTCCCGGTTTTGTTGCCATGGCTAGCGCTGACGCTCAGATCCGCCACTCTGCTGAACAGCAGAAGCTGGAGCGGTGGTGCGCTGCGCACCGCATTGAGTCGCCCTCCGACTTAGCGTTTTACTTCGTCGCGTACGAAGAGGCGATGAAGGGGGGCCGCGCCGTGGCAGATGCTTGGGATCAGGCGCGCCGCGCCTTGAGGCCACGACCGACCCCATCGTTTGCTGGGCCTGTCCGGCCCAGCACCCAGGGCCGTCAGTCGGGCGGCCCTGAAGGCGGTGCAATGACCTTTTTGCCCCAGTTGATGGCCATTCTCTTGGCAGTCGAGCCCCCGCCGGCAGCTCGCTTGGCTGAGATCACCGCCAATTTCGAGGTGAAGATCACGCACGTGCTCCAGAAGGCGGAGGCCGCGACTGTGAAGCGAGCGCTTCACACGTGGCAAGAACTACAAGGGGTCATTGCCGGCGCAGGTGGAGGCATCCCGGACAAACACCTCTTGGCCACCTTCATTCGGGAGCACACTTCGCCTACACGTGCCTATACGGCTCTGGGGTGGCTCGTCCGCAACCTGAAGCTGCCGTTCGACCTCTCTGAAGTGGTCAAGCCTCGAGCCGGTTTGGGATCGCGCCTCGGTCAGGGGCAGGCGCAGGCAGCAACTTTGGAGCCCTCTATGGTCCTGCACCTGTTGGGTACATTGGAGTCCACCGTCGACCATCCTCACTGGCCCTTGGTGTTTTGTGCCTACGCCATGTGTTTTGGTGTGGTCAGGTACACCCATTTGCAACGAAGCTACTTGGTTAAGCGGTAACGGGGGCATCCTCGTGTTCTGGTGCACGAAAGGTAAGACTGGCAGCCGGGAGGCTTCGCTTGGAGCGTGGACCTTCTACAGGTGTTGGGCGCCCACTTGAACAAAGTGCGCCCGCGGTCAGGCGCTGGTTTCAAGCGCTGGCATTGGTCTCAGCCAGTGGGTACGGCGCAGTGTGTTCGGATCCTGCGACCACACCTGCGCGCGGCCATGGACGTTACCAGCCTCTCGTCTTACTCGTTCCGCCGAGTGCTTCCAACTTTGGCAGGGTATGTGGGGCTTTCAGAGACAGAGAGGCTTGCGCTTGGCCAATGGGTGGATCAATCTTCTAAGGGTAGGGCTACCACCCCATTGCGTTATGACTCACAGAAACAACGCCTGGGACACCAATTGCGCCTGGCGGGCCTGCACTTCTTCCAGGACCTCAACATGCCATTGTGGGATGAGTTGC